TCCCCGGAGGGTCCTTCCAGCTGCTCTCTCCCTCTGGGAACCACGCCCTGCCTGCTGTCAATCACTCTGCACACTTCCTGTTCAGTCACACTGGCCCCGCCCACAAAAGAGACTACACCTGAGTTTACCACCTACAGGTGTTCAGCCACAGCTTTAGACTGGAGCTGAGGCTGGGAGGTACCTGATTACTGCTGCTACTGCTACTATAGTACTGTTACTGGTACTGGTATTGCTGCTACTGTAACTAGTACTGTTATTACTACTGCTGTTACCGCTACTGCTACTGCTATTACTGCTTCTATTGTTACTAGTACTGTTATTACTACTGCTGCTACCGCTTTTGCTACTGCTACTACTGCTGCTACTGTTACTAGTACTGTTTACTACTGCTGCTACCGCTACTGCTACTACTGCTGAGTGGAGTAGAGTGATGAGTTATGAAGTTCTGATGATCAAATACAAATAAGCACTTCAGGGCAGCACTCAAACCAGAAGGAAGAACCAAACCCACCACATCTGGGCTCAGCAGGATCCATGTGTCAGTCTGTATAACGTGTCGAGGTCAGAGACAGGAGCACACAGAGGTGGAAGTGCCGACGCTGTGGCCTTCATTTGAAGTCTCTGCCAAAACACGAACCCTTCACTTGGGCTGTGATTTAAGAGGAAAAGAGTCAAGAGGTCAAGAACGTGTGAAGTGATGTACACCAGTCTCATTCTGCTGTTTTATCTGATTTTCTGCTGTTCAGGGGAGGGTCTGCACCTGCTTCACATTGTGTAAAGCAGCTAAAGTATGTATGTGTATGTATGTACTGTATGTGTGTGTGTGTTTTATTTGGACTGGGCAGGTCTGACGCACATGTGTAGATCTATAGAGTGTGAGTGTGGCAGGCAGTGGGCAGATAATACGTGCCAGTGCTGTCAGTACGGAGTCATTTACACCTCTCCTGTTATTTATGACTGCAGCTGCTTCACTCGGACCTCAGGGTTAGCTTTGGTTTAGCTCTCAGTTTCTCTAAGCATCACCTGCAGAAATCCTGATGACTTTCTGCTTTCCACTCAAGCGCCTCAATCTGATACAGACACAGTATAGATGTGGCTCTGTATGCATCTGTATGTTACAATATCACATAAGTACATTCAAACCAGGGCAGCTTTTCATCATAATGTGTAGTTTGTCCAAAAGGGTTTTGTAAAAGTAAAACTGTTCGGAATCAGATTATGATATCACTTATAGAAAACATGGTATATCTTGTACAGTATTCCTCCAGTGTTGCAACCTGCTGCTGTTGTTTTCAGTGTCCCATTGGTCATAAAGGGAACTGGGACAATATGATGGGACATGGAGCAAGCTCAAAATATCCCAAACTGTCTTCCGTTTAATCACTAAACTACTGTTTTCTTTCCGTGTCGAGAACTAGACATATAATTTTGTATTAAAGTTTAAAGTTCTTGCAGTTATTCTCAGACCATGTTCTTCATTCTATCTAGGCGGGATGCCTAGATAAAATAATTCCTCTTTTGATACAACCTTTTACCTGGATGTTTGTGCAGTTTTTAATGCAAATAAAAAATCTAGAAGTCAAAGTCAAAACATTTTATTTACAAGTGTTGTAAAATATTCTCAAAGAAGGATCCCATTTTAAAGCATCAATATGTGTGACGTGTACCAAAACTGAAAAAATACACAATAATAGTAAATCATATCAATGCAAACAATAGACAATGCTAAAAGTAGACAATGCAAAGAAAAGGTAAAGGTGCATTTTATTCATCCCAGTAGAGCAATTAATCCTCTGCATTTTCCCCATCTCCAGATGATGATGTTCTGCTTGGTCAGGACTACCAGATCTGGAGGATTTTACCTCGTGTGCATGTTTTCTTAGTGGCAAGGGCAACTGGGGTACCCGGAGGAAACATACACAGGCACGGGGAGAACATGCAAACTCCACTCAGAAAGGCCCTGTTCCGACTGGGATTTCAAACCCAGGACCTTCTTGCTGAGAAGCGAGAGTGCTAATCACTCAGCCACCATGCCGCCCCTCTAATAGACCATGCTAATTGTAGGCAATGCTAACAGTAGACATTGCGAATAGTAGACATTTCTACACAAAATACTAATAGACTAATGTACTTAGGCATTTACAAGCAGAAGTGCTAAGTGCTGTTAAGTGCTGGTGCTAAACCCTATAGTAACATATAGCTCTACAAACATGTCAGAAACATACCACCCGCGACATGAGAAGCTTCAGCTGGGGTTTCCTCTGCGTTAACTACAGCTACACTGCAAAACTGCACCTGCGAGGGCAGCAACAGAGGAGGCGAGTACGTACACCTCACACTAGGACCCCAGAGCCGTCAATTTGACTGGTTTTTGTTCTGGAAGCATAGATACTCAGCTTATGTTCATGTGTGGTCTTCATAGCTTTGTGACTTTTCTGTCTCTGTATGTAGTTTAGTTATATGTAATGAATCTGTTTAGGTATAGCATTATCTTTGATTTTTGAAATGTGAGTTGCGCTACCTTCAACCCCCGTAGCAGTCGGCAGGGTATATATCCAAAGGTACATATATCCAAAGCTAATCACAGTAAATGAAAAGCATGGGTGCTTTTCATTTACTGTGATTTAAATAGATGTAGTTGATGAAAAAAAAAAAACATACTTTGATCAAATAAACTGTTACTGCTGCATGACTTGTGTCTTTGGATTCTGAGTCAGGTATTTATAATCACCATCAAAAAAACTTGAGATTGCAATTTTCCGACTTTTGATTTTATCTAACTATCTATTTACTTTTATAAAGCAGTCTTCAATAGTATTTCCTATGGGTCGTATAGAGCGTCTATAATTTCACTCCAGTACTCAAGAAAATAAAGTACTTTTGTCACCTCAGTTAAACTCTGGGAGGCTTCAATCTAGAATGGATCATCATTAAGTGTTAAAAGCTGACAATGGATTTGAGATCACGTTTTGTGCTCATACAGCCCTGTGAGATACTATTTGACTTTTTGTGCTGAGAGCTGATTGGCTGAGTGGGCGTGGTCCACTTTGTCACATTTCAGTCTGAAAAGGCAGATCTGAAGATGCAACAGATCAGGAACTGGTTAGATTGATATCGTAACAAAGTTCAATGTTTGTGGTTCTAAAGTTATGGACCCCAGCTTTAAATAGCAGTCTGAATATATGTCCTAATGTACACATGTAAAAACGATAAGGAGACATCTGCACAAGAATGATTTAACATCTCTTCACCCACTCCTGTAACACATCCAAGCCTACTGTATATGTCTCCCAGCTCTAAATAGATCTATGTACACAAACCCCAGTGGATTTTAGAGCTCTCAGATCTCACTGCACCTGTTACACTTTTAACCATGGCTTTAATGCAGGTTTTATAGATTAGCCGGAGATATTACTTACTCGTATCCGTAACAAGTTTTCCTATGACTATAAATGAATCTTCCCCAATAAAGAGGATTCCTACAGACTGGACTTGGAGGCTATTTGAGTTTAAAATACTAATCCAATCTGAAGACGGGTGTCCAGTGTTTTTGCTTATTCTCACAGACTGTATATAGATGGACATTGCTAACCTGCTAGCTCAATGAAGTCCCATAGGGAAGTTCTCGGGGACGAAGTTTGGCTCCAAATCGCTCTGTCTCCTAAAAACTTGCATTGAAAAGTAAACTCCTCTAACTAAGGAACTATTTCTGTCACACTCACCATTTTTGGCTTTAAAAAAATCCATGGGTTAGCACTCTGTGAGATCAAGGTGTTTATACGTTGCTATTGTCTTTGTAAATCCAGACATCAGCCTTATAAGGATTGACCAATCAGGGGCCATAATTTTTAAATACAAGTTTGCCTTAGCAGCCATCTTAGCAACACGTCTGGCCATGTTCCCATACAAGGAAATTGCAGCTAGCGTATGAGTAATCAAGCATGAGCTAAGATAATCTAAAAGAGTAAATAGGATACTATCAAGACATGGTGTGAGATGAAATCCAAACCCCAGTGGACCTAGACCTGGGGGTAAAGTGTAGAGGAAACCAGAAGAGGTGATAATGCTGAGGTGGAGTGTTTTACTTCAAAGATGAACATGAGATGAACAGTAAACATTTTGAAAGAAAACATTACGCTGCATCTGTCTAAATAGTTTACACTTCCTATCTCAATGCTGATTAAAAACATGTGATAAAAGAAACGATTATTCACTTTTCTAGGTTCAGTCTCACTGCTCTGCCTCCGTTGTGTATCGGAAACACAGCTCCGCTCGTCCTGCAAATCAAGGTGGTAATCAGCAGATTTATTTCGAGTAAAAATACTTGTGCAATTGGCTAAGAATGTAAGTAAAAGCAGTGGTCCTGTCATGAGATGCTGAAAGACACTATACGATATCAGACACTGTATCATGATCAAAGGCTGTGATAAATCAATTTTAGAGTCATCCATCCATCTCCATTTCTTCTGCTTTATCCATTGCCGGGTCCCACAGGGCAGCAGTCTAAGCAGAGACGACCAGACTTCCCTCTCCTCACACACTTCTGGGGGTTTGCTGACATGTTCCCAGCTCAGCCAAGAGACGCTGTCCCTCTGTGTCCTGGGTATTCCTACGGTCTCCTCCTGGTGGTCTCCAAAACAGATGCCACCACCTCAACTGGTTCCTCTCGATATGAAGAAGGAGTGGCTCTACTCCGAGCTCCTCCCGTGTGATTGACCTCTTCACCCTATCTCTAAGGTAGCGCCCAGCCTCTCTGCAAAGGAAGCTTCTATCTGCGATCTAGTCCTTTCAGTCATTACCCAAAGCAAAGGCGAGAGAGGGAAAGAATAGCGACCAGTAAATCAAGAGCCTAAATCGATCCGCCGTCAATTTCTCGCTCCATTCTCCTATCACTCGTGAACAAGACCCTGAGATACTTGAAGTCCTCCACTTGCTGAATGACATGTGATAGAAGCAGTAGGTAGTGAATTGCATTAAAGTTCGTAAGCCTCTCCAAAGTCTCAGTGTTCTCTCGTCTCTTGTAAATCCTTGCTCCTGATATTTACACTGCTCTTCCTCCTTTCCTGGTCCAACCTCTCCCTCTCCGCCTCCCTCACCCACTCCGCTCCCAGAAAAGCCAGCATGTCCTGAGGCTTCCCGCGGCGCTCAGGCCTGGGGTCCAGCAGGTTCTGGAAGTAGGTACAGGCCAGAGCCGTGAAGCCGCTGAACTGAGGGGCCACTGGAGCTGCCTCAGGTCTTCTCACCGACTCAATCCACTCCTTGTACTTGAGGTAGGACCGGCAGTCGCTGGATGTCTCGGACCAGGGGTGGCTGCCCGTGAGCATGGCGTAGGTGAGGATGCCCAGGGCCCAGCTGTCGGTGCAGGGCTCCACTGGGACCCACACCCGTTCAGGACGCTCCTTGGCTTTGCCCCCAGACGTCCAACTGTCAACATTTCCCCGTGCCACCTCTGCCTCTGGGGGGCAGTATGGAGAGCTGTACCACACCTCTGGGACCCGAGTGCCACTGGGTTTGACCTGAAAGGCAAGAAGAGATTTAGAGAAAGGACTTGGAAGATACAGTGTCACTGTACAGGGTATTTCTACTTTATTCAATTCAACTCAATTTATTTTAGTAAATCATTAAACAACTACAGCAGTTGTCTTGGAGGACTGCTGTTGTAAACGCAATATAACAAATACATGGAACCCATTGGTCCATAGGGAACAAGGTGACCAATGTCCAGAAATGTGCGTAAATGTCTCTGATCATCGCTGTCCTTAGACCCTCCTGCATCAGCAAGGAACCCCTCAAAAACCCAGTGGGAAAAATGTGAAAAACCTCATGGAGGCCCATGCAGTATTTAAAGAGGGATCCAATCCCACGGACTGAGGCTGCAGATCCAAGACTGAGGCTGTCCTTTTACTATTTCTTATACCTTGATAGTAAATCAATGGTCCTGCTGGCAAGAACAATTGCAACTTATAGTTTGTACCGGAGACTTTACACGACAATTGAATCGTTCTAAGACACACTGTAACTATCAATGGCTCTTATTATTGAACTGACAATGCCTTATCTCGCGACCCTATCCTCACAGACTAGTGGCACAAATGTAAATGTGTTATTTATGACTGACCATGCCGAAGTCTCCCAGTTTGACCCAGCGACATGCCGTGTCACATAGGAAGACGTTCTCCGGTTTCAGGTCTCTGTGAACGAACCCCAGCGAGTGCAAGTGGGACAGGGCTCCACACAACTGTGATACCACCCTCTGACAGCTGTCCTCCTCCATCCCCACCTGCAGCGGACACACACACACAGACACACAAATATGAGAATCAGGGGTCAGCCACAGTCACTGCGCTGGTCCTGCTCAAAGGCTCAGCAGGAACATGTGTATGGATCTTCAATTCAATTCAACTTTTTCCTGTAAAGAGTGCTCGGAGGACTTTACACAACCGTTGAATTCATCTAGACAGATCCACTGTTCAAACAACATAGAAAACACATTGGTATTGGTCCATGATTTTTGAGTGTCCTGGATCATCACTGTTCAGACTGTGACTGTCTAACGATAGTGTAACCCACGTAGTTTAGCACTGTAACCCACGTAGTTTAGCTTAGTTGTAATCCCGCGTGACCCACGCAGCCACCGGACGTGATGCTTTAACCTGGCGCTGCCCCCTGTCCTCCCCCCTCTCATGGTGCTGCACTCACTGTTGTGATGCTACTGCTGCTATTTGCTACTGCTACTATCCGCTGCTGCGACTGATCTGCCATGGATCTGCTGCAATAAATTCAGCTGAATCACCGCTGCTTTGCCTCGAGCTAGGACATCCCTCCTTCGCTCAGCGGTGAGTCCGTTTTACCCCATTTTACTCTGATACTTGTTAAGAGTTTGATACGAGCGAGCATTGAGTACTCCATTAGATGTACGCGCGGATATTAGCCGCTTTGCGGGCAGCACAAACGCCAGAGTGGAGTTTCAAATCCACGTAATGCAAATCGATTTACTGATTTATATTCTTTTGTTCCTGCCGGATCTTAGGTTAGGCCTTTATTAAGTTAAGGACACCTTGTGTTGTTTAAATCCGTCCTGGATATAATTAGAACGAATGGTTTTGGCGTGTATACTTGGTTTGGCCATGACTGTTCTGCATTGACCCCATGGTGACGATCATGAGTGAGATCTTTTGATTAATATTTGAATTCGTTGCACTTTTGATTTGATCGATATTTAGAACATAGCCACATCTTTACTTAAAGTGCACTTAATTAATTATGTGACTAATGAACTATGTTTCATAATGAACTATGTTTCATAATGTATTATGTTTACAAACCCCATTGTAGATTGTTATATTTCTTCATTGTTATGTGTGTGTATAGAGCTTTGGGTTTTACTATGAGTCATAATTTGGGTTTTTTCCTTTGACCTCGTGCAGGTCAGGTTTTTTCACCCCTCCCTTCACCCCTCCTCGTGGACTATGATGGCGAGCTAAGAGCCCCCAACTCATGGTAGGAGATCGACGTCTATTTGTTTGTTCCTGATGTAAAAGAACTGGAGTCGTTGCTGGATTTACAAATAACTTTGGGATATTACAAACGTTTTGGATTTACAAATAACTTTTGGATATTACAAATAACTTCCGGATAGTGAAACAATTCGACCAAACGGAACTTGTATAGAACTGTATAGAAAGAACTCATAGGACACGAGTTGCCTGTTTTGTTTTGTTTGTTTGTTTGTTTAACACATTCATTCGTTTCCTCATAGTTGTTTTGTTTTGAATCCTACATATTTGGTTATTTTTTTTCCCTCATTGTCATTGAGGGCACCTACCCATATAATAAGAATACATAATTCAAATCAACCATTTGCTTCTTTCCTTTTTCATTCACTCTATGGCTCCCCTCCGAGCCAGTTTTCTGGTCAGTTAAGCACTTGTTCCGCAGTCACCCGACCTAGCCCTAAAGAGCGTTACATTTGGCGAGCTAGCCAGGAGCTATAACGTGTGAATGAATGTTTAATTTGATATGAGATTCGGGAAAAAAAATAATAATAGAAAAAAAATATTAATAGAAAAAAATGGCAGACTTTGTTTCTAAGTCGGGATGTGATGTCTCCAAATCAGCACTAGTTACTGGCGCGTCTAACACAGACACTGACAGAGAAATAGTTGATTGCCTCCGTAGCTATGGAGAGATTAAACGTGTCATCACAGTTAGTGACAAGTCTAGTTCTTTTTATCAAAACCTGATCGTTGAGTATGTAGACCAAACATCAATGTCTTTACTACAACCATTACTGCCGTATACACACAAGTCGTTAGTCGCGGACCGCAGTTTTTACGTTACATCGCTTGCGTCCCAATACGAGGCAACGGTGAGTGACAGCACCTCAATTCCCTTATCCAACCCATCTTCAGATCCCGATACGGACTATCTTATGGACCTGAAGCGCATAGCCGATAGCTCTGGAAAACGCTTTGAGGATGTCCTGAAGTCTGTCATGGATCAAATCGGTAGCCATTTGGACAAGGCTGGAGCCAGAAGGAAGGATGATGTTCGATTGGCTGCCAAATACAAGGATGGAGAGGAAGATGGGGAGGAGGACGAAGAGGATGATTACAAGGAGGAAGGAGGAAGGACCATCGACATGCCATCCACAGCATGGCCGGATACAATGCAAAAGGCAGGGCCATTTCGAGGCTCCTTCCAATTTCCATCATCCTCCCAACAGCGGGCTCGAATCGGTCAAAGTTATCCAAAGGTAGCTGGTGAAAGGATCTCACTGTCTGGGGATGATCTTAACCCACAGGAAGTGCGAAGGGTCGTCGTGGAACATGTCGTTCGGAACAGCGATGTGGTCACGTCATCGTCTTTACGGCTCAGATCATTTTCCGGGAGAGTCCCAAAACCAAGCAGTGAAGTGGATTATGAGTCGTGGAGAAGCCAAATCGAACTGTTACAAGCTGACCCCAATCTTTCAGCCTTGCATGTCACTCGGCGTATAATGGAGAGTTTATTGTCCCCTGCCGCAGATTTAATCAAAGCTTTCGGGCCAGACGCACTACCCACAGGCGTACTTCGTGTGTTGGACTCGGCTTTCGATACAGTGCAGGATGGGGAGGAGCTCTTTGCTCAATTTCTGAATACGCTGCAGAACCCGGGTGAACAACCCTCGTCCTACCTTCAGAGATTGCATCTAACGCTAAGCACTGTTGTTAAAAGAGGCGGCATCACAGCAGTTGATCAGGACAAGCACCTGTTAAAACAGTTCTGTCGTGGATGCTGGGAAAACGGCGTAATCGTGAAATTACAACTTGAACAAAAGAAAGACAATCCCCCATCATTCGCTGAGTTGCTATTATCATTAAGAACAGAGGAAGACCGTCAGACAGTTAAAGACTCTTTAATGAAAAAGCACATCGGCTCCACAAAGCAACGAGCCAGTATTCAATCTCAAAGCGCTTGGTCTGGTGCTAGTCCGAGCACAGACACAAACCCAAGTGATGAACTGAAAGATTTAAAAAAACAAATTCAGAAGCTTCAAGAGCAGATGTCAATACTCTTGTCCCAAAAGGCATTATCCTCAAACCAGGGGCCACGACCTGACCTGTCAAAGCCAACCAGCTACACCCAATCATCAGTCAAGCCAAGACCCTGGTACTGTTTCAGGTGTGGTGAAGATGGGCATATCTCGTCCTCTTGTACAAATAAGCCCAATCAAAGCCTCGTTGAACAAAAGAAAAAGCAGCTACGCCAAAAACAGCAGGCGTGGGACACAAAAACTGGCAAGTCAAACTAGCAGCAGCTCCTGTTAAGGGACACCCGGAAGCTGCTGAGACCCAAAGTCCCAGAAATACGCAACGGCCAATCATGCTGCCCAGAGGCCTTATTGGAACAAAGAGCACTGGCCAAGTCCGAATAAATGGAACTCTATTCAATTGTCTCCTTGACAGTGGATCTCAAGTAACCACAATACCACACTCGTTTTACAACAGACACTTGGTCGAACACAAGATAAAACCCTTGAACAATCTGTTGGAAGTCGAAGGGGCAAATGGTGAAGCTGTGCCCTATTTTGGATATGTCGAACTCAATCTGACTTTTCCGTCTGAACTCTTTGGAACGGAGACTGAACTGGACACTTTGGCTCTGGTTGTGCCTGATGTCAAACACTCTAACCCGCTTCTGTTGATCGGGACCAACACATTGGATGTGGCATATCAGAAGCATCTGGAAGCTGGCTCCATCGACCACCAGTCTACCGGAGGCGGATACAGAGCCATTATGAAAATCTTGCAGCGCCGGCATGCAGAGACATTTACAAATAACCCCTTCCTTTTGATACTTTGTTCTGACCAACCAGAGACGATTATGCCAGGCAAAACAACAGTCCTGGAGAGCAAACTCACACCTCGGCTGTTAGAAGATGAGAAAGCTGCGGTAATTGAGCATCCTTCCTCAGTTACCCTTCCTGGTGGCCTCTTTGTTAAACGTTGTCTTGTTGACCTGCCCCAACATCGGCCTTGTTCCCTGCCGGTTGTAGTAACAAACGAGTCAGAACATCCAGTCGTACTCCCAGCTCGAGCAATTATCGCAGAGATCAGTGCTTTCCAAACCATCATACACAAAAAGCACACTGTGAAAGATCCGGAAATACCAGAGCCATCACTGATCCAATACAACTTTGGGGACTCACCATTGTCGCCCCAGTGGAAAGAGAGACTTGTGTCCAAGCTTAACAGCATATCAGACGATCAGATGGGCCAAGCACGATCTCGACTTTGGACGGACTGACATGGTGAGACACCAGATAAAGATGTCAGATCCGACACCTTTTAAGCAACGTCCGCGACCCATCCATCCTCATGATGTTGACGCGGTGAGGAAACATCTACAGGAGCTGTTAGATACGGGAGTCATAAGAGACTCTGACTCACCGTTCGCGTCCCCAATCGTAGTTGTTCGGAAAAAAAACGGAAGCGTACGCTTATGTATCGATTACCGCAAACTAAACATGCAAACCATCAAGGATGCATATGCCCTTCCGAAGATGGAGGACGCTTTTGCTACTCTTTCTGGATCGGAATGGTTCACGGTGCTTGATCTGAAGAGTGGATATTACCAGATTGAGATGGATGATAAGGATAAATCGAAGACCGCTTTTGTGTGTCCTCTCGGGTTCTATGAATTCAATCGCATGCCGCAGGGAGTGACCAATGCGCCAAGCACATTTCAGCGACTTATGGAAAAGTGCATGGGACAGTTGAATCTGAAGGAGGTGTTGGTGTTCATTGACGACTTAATAGTCTTTGCACCAACACTTGAGGAACACGAAGACCGGTTAATGAGAGTCCTGAATAGGCTCAAAGACTTTGGCTTGAAGTTGTCTATTGAAAAATGCGTGTTCTGCCAAAAGTACGTGAAGTATTTGGGCCACGTGGTGTCCCAAGACGGAGTGGAAACGGACCCCGACAAAACGTCTGCACTGAAGTCCTGGCCTGTCCCACTAAACTTGAAAGAGCTGCGGTCGTTTCTGGGATTTGCTGGGTACTATCGGCGTTTTGTGCGAGATTTTGCAACAATTGTCAAACCATTGCATGATCTTACTGCTGGGCTATCCACCTGGCCAAAAGAAACTTAAACCGACCATCAAAGCAACAAACTACTTGAATCCAAGAGTACCCTTTGGTGGTCGCTGGACCCCCCTTTGCCAGAAAGCCTTCGAGAACATCATTGACAAGCTCACCTCTGCCCCCATACTTGCTTTTGCGGACCCCAACAAGCCGTACGTGCTTCACACTGATGCAAGTTCCAGCGGTCTTGGGGCAGTTCTCTATCAGGAACATGAAGGGACGAACCGTGTTGTGGCATATGCCAGCAGAGGCCTGTCAAGGAGTGAATCAAACTACCCAGCACACAAGCTGGAGTTCCTTGCGCTTAAATGGGCTGTCACAGAGAAGCTCAGCGATTACCTCTATGGCATGCAGTTTACAGTTGTTACAGACAGCAATCCGTTGACCTACCTGTTAACTTCAGCAAAATTGGACGCTACCTCTTACAGGTGGCTCTCGGCTTTATCCACTTTCAGCTTTAAGATCATTTACAGATCTGGAAAGCAGAATGCTGATGCTGATGGCCTTTCACGCCGTCCACATCTTGAGGTGCCTGAAGACCCCACGTCCAGTAAAGAACGTGAACGGGTTCTCAAGTTCATCAAATGCCATCTTGACGGGGACCAGACAGTCATTGACCTTGCCACAGTGAAAGCGATTTGTGACCGTCAACTAGTGTTTGGCTCTTCAACTGTTGACCCGGCTCTTGCCCTTGTCCTCTCCTTGACGACAAACCCAGATAGCCTACCTGACAGCTTTTCCGATGACGCTCAGTTCGCCTCCTCGGTGGTCCCTTCGTACTCTACTGCTGATCTCGCCGCAAAGCAGCGATCTGATCCAATCATTCGGCATGTGATTGCGCAGATAGAACGAGGGGAATCACCGCCACCTTCTCTGCGAGAACAACTCCCAGAATTGCCCTTTCTTTTGAGAGAAAGTAACAGAATGACATTCCGAAACAACCTTCTAGTGAGAAGGAGGCAGGTTGGGAGTTTCGTTGTTTACCAATTGGTGTTGCCGGAAGAATGTCGCGATGCTGTTCTGTCCCAGCTACATGACCAAATGGGCCATCTTGGAATAGAGAGGACATTAGATCTGGTCCGGTCCAGGTTCTTTTGGCCAAAGATGGCTGCGGACATCCATAGAAAGATCAGAACTTGTGAACGTTGTGTGAAGCGTAAAACCTTACCAGAGAGGGCTGCGTCTCTTGTTAACATTAGGACATCACGGCCACTAGAGCTTGTTTGCATGGATTTCTTATCTCTGGAGCCTGATCGTCGAGTGAAGGATATACTTGTGCTCACTGATCATTTCACGAAGTATGCCGTTGCAGTGCCTACTCCAAATCAGAAAGCCCGCACTGTCGCCAAGTGTCTTTGGGAGCATTTCTTTGTCTATTATGGCATCCCGGAGCGGTTGCACAGTGATCAGGGCCCTGACTTTGAATCACGGACCATAAAGGAGCTGTGTGGCATTGCTGGTATCGAGAAGGGAAGGACTACTCCATACCACCCCAGGGGAAATCCTGTTGAAAGGTTTAATCGTACCCTGTTGAACATGCTGGGGACATTAACGGAGGATAAAAAGTCCCGCTGGAGAGAGTTTGTTAAACCCCTCGTACATGCATATAACTGCACTAAAAAATGACGTGACTGGATATTCACCTTATGAGTTGATGTTCGGTCGCCAACCTCGCTTACCTGTTGATTTAGCTTTCGGACTACCTTTGAGGGACGTCGTTTCGACGTCCCATTCACAATATGTCCAGGATCTGAAGGACCATCTGAAGGAGAGCTACCAAATGGCCATTGCGAATTCCGAAAAGGAGATGAGTCGCAACAAGTCCATATTTGATCGTCGCGTTTCTCCTTCTGAACTGGCTGTTGGTGATAGGGTGCTTGTAAGAAATGTTCGCTTGAGAGGGAAACATAAGCTGGCTGACAAGTGGGAGTCTGATGTCTATGTGGTGGTGAAGAAAGCTGGTGACCTCCCTGTGTTTACGGTTAAACCTGAATGTCGGGAGAAGCCTCTAAGAACCCTGCACAGAGATCTCTTGTTGCCCTGTGGTTACTTATCGGGTACTGTCAAACGTCTTCCTGTGACGAAGAAGACACATGCCATCTTGTCGGGTCTCGAACCCGGACTTGTCGAGGACGATCAATCAGAGGATGAGTATGTGACGGATACCTCTGACCGACTGGTTGTTGGCCCTGTGAACTTCACCCACACTAGGGTTGTCGACAAGCCAGCAATTCCCCTGCCAACTGGTGACCAGCCTCAAGCGTCTCCATGCTCCTTTGTTCCCCCTGTCCCACAGGTGGCTCCGTTAGCTATGGACGAGCCTCCATGTTCCGCTGCTTTCTCCTTTCCACCAGTGGTTCCACCAGCTATGGATGAGGAGCAGGTGGATGAGGAGCAGGTGGATGAGGAGCAGGTGGATGAGGAGCATTTTCCGATTGCTTCAGAGGAGCTGAGTCCAGTGGAGATTGAGGAGCGCGGGCCAGGACTAGGCGACCTTCAGGTGGGTGCCTTGCCGGTCGATGATCGCTTTGCTTCTGATTCGCCAGTGTCTGAACTGGACAGTGAACGCTCTCCCGGTGTGCTGTCTTCTGTTGCATGTGTGCCTGACAGTCCGGACTGTGATCCTCCTCCCCGTCAGTCGACTCGCACACGCCGGCCGCCTGATCGCCTCCTGTACGACAAGCCTGGTAACCCGCTGCTTAAGAGCATACAATCCCTGTTTCATGGCTTGAGTACAGCTTTCTCCTATGTCCTAGAAGAAGGGGGTGATGGTGATGTAATTCCACCCGCCTTCCAAACAGTCTGCAGCCAGCCTGCCCCATGTCCGGGGACGTTCATGGATTCAGTGGGGGAGGCTGTAACCCACGTAGTTTAGCACTGTAACCCACGTAGTTTAGCTTAGTTGTAATCCCGCGTGACCCACGCAGCCACCGGACGTGATGCTTTAACCTGGCGCTGCCCCCTGTCCTCCCCCCTCTCATGGTGCTGCACTCACTGTTGTGATGCTACTGCTGCTATTTGCTACTGCTACTATCCGCTGCTGCGACTGATCTGCCATGGATCTGCTGCAATAAATTCAGCTGAATCACCGCTGCTTTGCCTCGAGCTAGGACATCCCTCCTTCGCTCAGCGGTGAGTCCGTTTTACCCCATTTTACTCTGATACTTGTTAAGAGTTTGATACGAGCGAGCATTGAGTACTCCATTAGATGTACGCGCGGATATTAGCCGCTTTGCGGGCAGCACAAACGCCAGAGTGGAGTTTCAAATCCACGTAATGCAAATCGATTTACTGATTTATATTCTTTTGTTCCTGCCGGATCTTAGGTTAGGCCTTTATTAAGTTAAGGACACCTTGTGTTGTTTAAATCCGTCCTGGATATAATTAGAACGAATGGTTTTGGCGTGTATACTTGGTTTGGCCATGACTGTTCTGCATTGACCCCATGGTGACGATCATGAGTGAGATCTTTTGATTAATATTTGAATTCGTTGCACTTTTGATTTGATCGATATTTAGAACATAGCCACATCTTTACTTAAAGTGCACTTAATTAATTATGTGACTAATGAACTATGTTTCATAATGTATTATGTTTACAAACCCCATTGTAGATTGTTATATTTCTTCATTGTTATGTGTGTGTATAGAGCTTTGGGTTTTACTATGAGTCATAATTTGGGTTTTTTCCTTTGACCTCGTGTAGGTCAGGTTTTTTCACCCCTCCCTTTACCCCTCCTCGTGGACTATGATGGCGAGCTAAGAGCCCCCACCTCATGGTAGGAGATCGACGTCTATTTGTTTGTTCCTGATGTAAAAGAACTGGAGTCGTTGCTGGATTTACAAATAACTTTGGGATATTACAAACGTTTTGGATTTACAAATAACTTTTGGATATTACAAATAACTTCCGGATATTGAAACAATGCGACCAAACGGAACTTGTATAGAACTGTATAGAAAGAACTCATAGGACACGAGTTGCCTGTTTTGTTTTGTTTGTTTGTTTGTTTAACACATTCATTCGTTTCCTCATAGTTGTTTTGTTTTGAATCCTACATATTTGGTTATTTTTTTTCCCTCATTGTCATTGAGGGCACCTACCCATATAATAAGAATACATAATTCAAATCAACCATTTGCTTCTTTCCTTTTTCATTCACTCTATGGCTCCCCTCCGAGCCAGTTTTCTGGTCAGTTAAGCACTTGTTCCGCAGTCACCCGACCTAGCCCTAAAGAGCGTTACAATAGCCTTAATCCTTTTAGTTCAGCTTTTCTAGACAAAAACATGACAAAGAGAGGACCACCCTCACTCAAAGAACATGTGTTACTTATGAAAGAAAAATCTTGGTTTCTCAGTTCCTGCCTCGCTCACCTCTGGCACGATGACGTCATACAGGTCTCCGCACAGACTGGCCTGTTGAGCAAAGACGTAGTGTGAGGGGGTGGAGTAGGCGATGCCCAGGGCGCGGGTGAGGGACGGGTGAGAGCAGAAAGAGAGGGAGAGGTTGTACTCCCGCAAGAACGTCAGCATCGAGGTCGACTCACGAGGGAAGAACTTCAGAGCCATCGGGGTTCCTGCACACAACACAACAACAGAGGTCGCATGAGTTTCTCTTCAGACTTGTTTCCACCAACCATACTTGGTTCTACTCTACTCTACTTTGCTCTTCTCTACTCTACACTACTCTACTCTACTCTACTTGTGTTTCCATTCCTCTCCATTTACCATTGCTGTTATTCCATTACCGTACACTCGCAACCTGCCCACAACAAACCAGTTTCCGGGGAAATTAAAGCACTCTGGCCAATCACTGTCAGTTGGCAAAGTAAGTGCTGTAAAATCCAGACTACAAGGCTTCAAATATGTTCTCCTTATCTTTCTGCCTCACACTGGAAGATTAAGAACAGTCAGTGGCTCACTTCAAGCTTTGAGCTAAATTTTTCAGAATTACAGTGTGGGACAGGTGCGATTTATAATCAGGTGTGGCTTATAATACAAGTTCAAAATTTCTTTCTTAAAATTAGAGCCTGCGGCTTATAGTCAGAAAAATACAGTAAGTGATCCTTATGCGCCTTTCACAGACCAGAGTCACAGCTCGGCCTGGGAGAGTGGAGTAAAGAGTAAACTTGGGTAAAGAGTAGGGCCAAGTAGAGCTGGTGAAAACTGGCTTTTTGATACATACTGTACAATACTATATTTTTATGAACCTTATACTGAGTCGTAGTCACCTCTCTGCTTGTGCACGGCCAGCATCACTCTCCCGTAGGAGCCTTCTCCCAGCAGCTTCAGGACCTGGAAGTGTTCTGCTGTTTCCATGGAGATCAGAGACTGCGACGTCAACAGGCACAACTCGTCCAGGAGCTTCGTCGCCGGCTGAACAGATACAGACAGAAACGTAAGTATAGATAAGAATAAGTAAGTATAAACATATCAGGACTCTGACTTTTGGCACCGGGATGAATTGAGGAAAAATTTGAGTTTTATTTGTATAGCACAGTTTATACACCCATCCATCCATTTTCTACCCTTTAATCCATTTCTGGGTCAGGGGGGTGGCAATCAGAGATGCCACCCAAGTCTCATAGCACCAGCCCCTCACTGATCCTCTGCAGGTGGTGAGTCCACAGGAGGAGTTTATACACATGGTAACTCAAAGTGCTGAACAAAACAAGATAGAAACAATCACACAAGCCATTGAAATCGTGTTCTTTCAGATTTTAGCTGCAAAATCTGTATCCCAGCAGGCCAGTCCCTGTGCCCCTCAGAGTCCCCGCAGGAGGCCAGTCCCTGTGCCCCTCAGAGTCCCAGCAGGGGGCCAGTCCCTGTGCTCCTCAGAGTCCCAGCAGGGGGCCAGTCCCTGTGCTCCTCAGAGTTGGTTCATATGGCACTATTATGTCACAGATGTACTTTGGTGCGAGGCCCTGGAGAGACTTGGAACAAACAGAGCTGCTTTAAAGTCTACTCTCTGAGCCACAGGAAGCAGAGACCTGAGAATAACAACCCGATCATTTATATTTTTAACCCAGAGAAAAATTGTACAAACTGTAAATCATCACACAGCCCCATGGAGGGACCTGAAGTCACCCTCGGCATATGAGAAGTACAGAACCTTCAGCCCAAGCTTGAGTTTTAGTCGATACGAAAACAACGAGGACTTGTCTAAGTGCCTTGCTCATGGGCATGCCATCACTAGCACCAGATCAAAGCAGAAATCAACCCCACAACCATCTGGTCTATTGGCAACACCCTCCCGCTCCTTTGCTCTTGTGGCATGCCATACTCCTTCAGCAGCTACACAAATGACCTCTCAAGTTTGGCAGTGCATTTAATGACGGACGATAAAATGAGAGGTATTACATTTCTGGAACGCTAAATCAACGCTAAGGACTCGGCGGTATTTGGACGTTATCCCGAGTGGACCAGGGGGACGAGGGGGCTGCAGACCGGGGACATAAACAGGTCTGATAATAGTGTCTTAAATCCACACGGTTCCAAAGACAAAAGCAGAGAGGGTGAGGGGGAAACTGAGGAGAGAGAAGAGAGAGGAAGAGGAGATAGAAGTAGAACTATCTGTGCAATAATGTCAGAATGTGCAATACAGAATGTGTCCACTGTCATTTTACTGAGTCACTAATGCCCCAGACCCTCACGCTGCTAACATGTACAAATGTATACATGCAATTATATATTCTTGGAATATACAGGATTTATACTTGTTCTGCTATTACTGCAACAATACAACTTTTTAAATAATAAAGCATGCAGAGATGTTATACTTTGTTCTTGCTTCTTTATTGAGCTAAAGCTAGAAGCACGGTGGCTGAGTGGATAGCTCTCTCGCTTCTCAGCAAGATGGTCCCGGGTTTGAATCCCGGTCGGAACAGTGGAGTTTGCATGTTCTCCCTGTGTCTGCGTAGGTTTCCTCCGGGTGCTCCGGTTTCCCCTACCACTAAAAACATGCACAATAGGTATGAATGTAAATGAGAGAGTGAATGGATGGTGTTGATTGGAGCTGATGGTCCAGTGTGTTCGGCGACTCGCTTCCGTCATCACCGTGTGTGGAATGATTGGAACAATATCTGAACTCTGAACATTGTAAAGCGCTTTGGGTGACCTTGGTCTGAAAAACGCGCTATATAAATAAACATTACTTTCACCATTATTATGCTAAAGTGAGAGATTTTATTCTTGCTCCTATATTAAGGTATACGTATTTATTCAAAACATATTTGTTTTATACAGCAAGCATGAAAACCAAACAAGATACAGACGTTCAATTGAAAAAAAAAAAAACATAACAGTGGACACAGCAAATACTAATGCTTTAGCTAAACCTATACCTGCTTCTTTATTCTGCCAAAGTAAGAGACTTAATTTTATTTTAGTATGAAGTTATGTGAAATATGAAGTGGTCCTATGTGTGCTGGGTGCAGCTTTGACTGCCACCCCCCCGACCCAGAAATGGATCAAGGGGAAGACAATGGATGGATTAAGTTATTGTTCATTTATTCATCTTGTGCTGTGTGCTCCTCATTCTGTTCTGTAACTGGTGAGGCAACACTGACATTTCCCCTCCGTGGGACCAAGAAGAGATCTCTTATCTTATCTCAGGGACGTTGCCAGGTTTCTCTGTTCACACTAATCCAGGTCTTTGTCTCTCTGATTTTCGTTTGTTGTATATGAAATCTAACCTGAGAGATCAGTCTCTCTCCTGTCCATTACTATTGACAGTTGTGTGGCCTCATAACAACGGCTGTCATCGCTCTGGTTATAAAAGTGCTGTTTTGAAATAGTCGGCATCCTTCTACCTCAAGTGCCCTCTTTCTCAGAAGTCATTTCCAGCTGGTGACTCCACGCAGCGAGAGAGAAGCCACAAACATGTCACGACAGATTAGAAATGTCTAATTTAGTATCCATATCCATTTTCTTTCTGCAGTGCCTTTCGTGACACCTAGAACACTATCCATCCATCCATCTTCTTCCCCTTAATCCATTTCTGGGTGGGGGTGGCGATCAGAGCAGCACACATGAAACATGGCATCAGCCCCTCACATTATTCATACACTCCATGCTGGTGGTAAGTTACTTCATCCAACTATCCATCCATACATTTTTTCCGCTTCATCCATTGCCGGGTCGTGGGGGGAGCAGTCTAAGCAGAGACGCACAGACTTGCCTGTCCAAACACACTTCCTCCAGTTCATCCGGTGGGACCCCAAGGTGTTTCCAAGCCAGCTGAGAGACATAGTCCCTCAAGTGTGTCCTGCCTCCTCCCCGGGATCTCCTCCCGGTGGGAAGTGCCCAGAAAACCTTCCCAGGAGGCATCCGGAACCGATGCCCGAGCCACCTCAACTGTTTCCTCTCAAAGTAGAGAAGCAGCAGCTCTAATCTGAGCTCCTCCCGTGTGACTCAGCCTCTCACCCTATCTCTAAGGCACCACCCAGTAACAACTCATTCTGACCGCTTGTATCCATGATCTCGTTCTTTTGGTCATTATCCAAAGCTCATGACCAGAGGGAGGGAAAGAAGATATACCCCTCCCTCAACTCTGGCACGCTGCACCGATCCACCTGTCAATCTCACGCTCCGTCCTTCAATCACTTGTGAACGAGATCCTGAGATACTTGAACTCCTCCACTTGAGGAAGGACCGCTCCACCCACCTGGAGAGGGTGAAAAAGGTGCTTAACCTTTTTCAGGAGCACCATGGCTTCAGATCTGGAGCTGATTCTCATCCCAGCCGCTTCACACTCGGCTGCAAGTGTTTTTGCGTATAGCCCTAATCTCGAACAGATCAGAGAATCAAAGAGTTCAAAAACAGTAAAATGCAATGGTAGATAACACATAGAGCCATTGTTCCGTAAGGGGCGTATGACACATGTCGACATGACCAATGTCCATAAAAGTTGCAACAGTAGCTACAGCGGTGAAAAGACTGAGATTGTTGGAAGAGAGGCTTCAAATCAAATGCAATGATTCACTTAAAACTTTTCTATCTAACGGTTTGTTTACTAGAATCTGCTTTGATGAACCTGAGTGACACATAAGACACAATTTAAAGTTAGAAAAACAACATTCTGTGACATTGAAGATTGAGATTTTTGAACAGCTGGAGACTACTGTGATGCATCTCTTGGTTGTTTTTAAATTCAGATTCCAGAACAGGCTGCATGTATTGGGGGCTGTACAGAGAGGGAGGACCAGGGGGAGAGAGTGGGAGGCAGAGACACAGAGGGATGTTTCCACACAGCTGCTGGATCACACTGGGACCACAGACAGATCTGGTGTCACACAGATCCACAATGAGTATCATTACAGGTCATTACGGGATTGTTTTGTTACATTTTGTTCTATTTACAAGTGGTAACATTTAGGTGGAGCCAGAATGCTCAACTCGTACTGATCCCTATTTGTTTCAGATCTGTAGACACCAAGTAAAGGTGATCAAATAGTTCAAAGAGATAAATACATAACTGGTAATACCTACTTTTCATGAACAATTCTTTCAGAAGTTGTTTTATCTGTTGGTCTGTTTACTGAGGAATCTGCTCACAGATCTTTGAACCTAGCGACACATAGAGACGCAATTGGATATACAACATTCCTTCACACTATAGCTGACAAAACCTTTCCATATGTTTGTGTATGGTTCTAAATCAGCTGTTTGCTCAGAGGACTTTACAAAGTTTTGGATTTGCCAACAACAGATCAGAGAATCAAACAGTTCGATGACCATTGTTCAGAAAGTTTGATACATGTTAATAAATGTCCTGGATCACCACTGTCCTCAGACCCTCCTGCATCAGCAAGGAAATAATAACAATAAAGATGCATTGGATTCATACAGTGCTTTTCTGACTTTCAAAGATGCTTCACATTTCATGATTCTTTGTCATTGTCATTATAATAATAAATTTCATTATTATAAGAGAGAGACAAGAGAGACCAGCGGTACCCCGGGATTACCACTGGTCTCTCTAGCTGTAGATGCTAGGATTGGTCAGCTAGTGTACATGTTTTCAGTGGTAGGGGAAACAGGAGCACACGGAGGGAACCTATGCAGACATGAGGAGATCATGCAAACTCAGGACATATGTAGGTTTTCTAATATGTTATGTATGTGTAACATGTTTGCAGCTGCATACAAATCAGACGTACTGTATGCAGCTGCAATCTGGAACAGTCTTCCTGAAAATGTGAGACAGGCTTCTTCTCGGACAATATTCAAATCCAGGTTAAACAACTGAAGGACTGTAATTCTCTTATTAATCTTCTGTGATTATTTATTATTTCATTCAAACATATTCCATGCATCAATGACAGAACCCTGCACTGTTTTTAGTGGTAGGGGAAACAGGAGCACACGGAGGGAACCTATGCAGATATGTGGAGATCATGCAAACCATGGTGACCACCACTTCTAATTCACTAATATTGTCTTAACCAGCGCAATAGCAGTGGTATTCTTTCCAACCCATGTGTTTTTACAGTGAATAGATACAGATACTGCTTTGACATTCAATTCGACATGATTTGTGCTGCCGTTCTGGAGCGTAACAGTTGTTTTTAGCAGCGTGTCTGTCGGCTCGGCCTCCAGCAGGATCCCAGGGCACTCATGGAGCTGCATACCTGCCATACTCTGAGTCTGCTGGGTTTAAGTCCAGTGAAACGAGCTGACAGGAGCCTTCTCTCAGCGGGACGTCCCTGTGCGTCTCCGTTACTTAAGACACGGCGGAATCCGCCCAAACTGGAATTGGCAGGACTGGAAATAGTATTGTCTCTATAAACAACGCGATAAACAAATAAGATCCTGTTTGGATCGATGTCTCTGAGAGCTCTCAGAATTCACACCATTAATGAGACCATCAAATTATACAGTGCTATGGCGAGTGTTTGTGTCATAGATATTCTGCAATGAAATTATATTACAGTTTGCAAAGCGGCTCCCATCTGATGTAACTACACTAAATATTTTTAAAATCCACCCAACTCCCAAATATATTAGTTTGTATATTTTTCTTACATCGACCAATGCCGCAAACTGACAAAGTCTTCCTGCGAGGATGCTTCAGGTTTGGCACACACATTTTTTACCATTCTTCTCTGCAGAATCTCTCAAGTTCTGTCAGGTTAGACTCCTGCTAAGACTCTGAGGAGCTTCTTCTCTGACAATGTTCAAATCCTGGCTTGCTGTGCATACAACTGAGGGACTTTACCTTTTTTATGTACTGTGATTTTTCATGATTCCAATGCCTTGTGTGGTTTTCTTTTCTTGTTTTGTTCAGCACTTTGAGTAGCCTTATGTATGCGCTATACAAATAATCTAGCCTTGCTTTGCCTTGCCTAAATTGAAACCAACCAAATGGCCCCAGATTACAAACAATAACACATAGCAGCCTTTTTTAACAATGCGAAGGAAATCTCATCAAAGTTTGTTCTGTAGAAAATAAATTCTCACATTATTTGAACCAAACTCAAAGCAAATAACTGACAAATACCTCAGCTTTAGTCCTGCCTTCTCTACTTTCTTCTATAGATACACACAAAAAAGGAAAACTGCTTGTTCCATTGGCAAATATTCTCTTCAGCCCAAACACAGCAAAACCATAACAAACGTCTCCAAGCTTAAGCCGTGTCCAAGTCAGAGACCAGAGAGAGAGACCCGAGTGAGACCCAAGTGAGGCCAGAGAGAGAACTAAGAGAGAGAAAGAGAGAGAGACCTGAGACAGACCAGAGAGAGATAGGAGTGATACAAGTGAGAGACCTGAGAGAGAGAAGAGAGAGACCAGAGAGCGACAAGAGAGACAGGGGAGAGACTATAGAGAGAGACCTGTGAGAGACAAGATAAGGGAAGACCAGAGAGAGAGAGAGAGAGAGAGACCTGAGACAGACTAGAGAGAGAGAGACAAGAGAGAGACCAGGGAGAGACCTAAGAGAGACCCGAGAGAGAGGCAAGAGAGAGACTAGAGAGAGACCTGTGAGAGAGAGACCTTAGAAAGACAAGAGGAAGGGAAGAGAGCGGAGAGAGAGCAGAGAGAGAGCAGAGAGAGAGACCAGAGAGACCAGCAAGAGACCAGAGAGCGATCAGAGAGATAGACCAGAGAGATATCAGAGAGTGAGATACCAGAGAGAGAGAAAAAAACCAGAAGGAGGGACCAGAGAGAGATCAGAGATGTTTCTTGTTTCCTTAAGCAGTTTGACCAGCTCTGTGTGTACGCTTGTTTGTGTGCGTGTTTGCGTGCGCCTGTGTGCATGTGTGTGGTGTCAATGGTGTTTGAAAGTGTTGCGTGTCTTACTGTCATGCTGCTGTGATTCATGGATCCGGGGCTTAAAGTTCAGGCTGTCATTGAAGCAGGTGCAGCCGCGATCGCCCCAGGACCGAAGAGACTCTGGACTGTGCTCTTCTCTCTGCTTCAACACCTCTGCTTGTTGCTCTTCTGGAGGGAGTTCTACATCTTCCTCCTCCTCCTCCTCCTCCTCTGGCAGTGGGACCGTCCCACACACTCCACTTGTTGTGTTGACATTAGCTGATCATCTGTCCAAGTCTTAACTTTCTATTTTGAGACTCAACAATGTTGTCCTGGATAAGTCTAGATGTTAAAGTTAGTATTGGTTCTTCTATGTATTTGTGTGTATGTTTGTGTGTATGTTTGTGTGTGTGTGTCTGTTGGTGTGTCATGGACGTCTCATTGTCTGCTGTCCTGGGTATTTCTGCTGTTGGTTTTTAGGTTCTTCTATTGTATATGTGTGTGTGTGTGTGTGTGTGTGTGCGTGCGTGTGTGTGTGTGTGTGTGTGTGTGTGTAATAAGATGCGTCACCATATTGACCAGTCCAAATATGTTTATGTGTGTGCGTGTGTGTGTTTGTTGGTGTGTGCGTGTGTGTGTGTGTGTGTTTGCACAGAATGTTATGGATAATTCTACATGTTAAAGTTATTGAGTCCTCTGTGTGTTTGTGTTTATAATGATGTGTGTTATGTGAATATCCACAATGTTCCCTGAAGGTTTTTCTCTCATCTTTTTCTTTGTCAGTGGTTATTATTACTGCACAGAATACCCTCAGAGTAAGTAAGTAAGTAGGTAAGTTTATTTATATACCGCCTTTCACAGAGTCACAAAGCGGTTTACAATTGTTATTTTTGAGCATTTGTCCTCTCACTCCACACGGAGCTACAGTAGGAGCGGGCTCTGTTCTCCCCAAAACAACGTGTATGCATGTGTGTGTGAGTGTGTGTGCGTGTGTGTGTGTCCATGTGTGTGTGTGTGTGTGTGTATGTGTGTGTGTGTGAGTGTGTGTATCTGCGTGTGCGGACCTGTCATCTCTTCTATCTTTATCCAGCTCCTTTCTCCTGTATCTGTGTCTGTGTGTGGGTCCCTCTGGTCAATCTCTGGTCTCTCTCTAGTCTCTTTTTCTGGTTTTTCTTCCTGGTCTCTCTCTTGCCACTTACTCGGGGCGATAGTAGCTCAGTTGGTAGAGCATTGGCCTTTGAGCCCGAAAATTGTGGGTTCGAGCCCACCACAAGACTTTCTCCACCGACTCCCACTGTCTACTGTCGTTGTGTCCAAGACACTTAACCTCTGGGAACACCTGATGCCACAGTGGGGCGGCTGCGGCTGTAAAGTGTCAAACTGCCGTTGTGTCCTTAGGCAAGACACTTCACCCCCTTTGCCAGATTGAGTCTTGTGTGTGAATGGTTGGTGGTGGTTTGACGGGCAGATGCTACATACTAGTTGCCTTGCTTCTGTCAGTGTGCCCCAGGGCAGCTGTGGCTACAGTATAGTTTGTCACCACTATGTGAACTACTAGCGAATGAATAATGACATGTGAAGCATCTTTGAGTGTCCATAAAAGCACTTTATATACACGGGCGGCACGGTGGCAGAGTGGATAGCACTCTCGCCTCTCAGCAAGAAGGTCCTGGGTTTGAATCCCAGTCGGACCAGGGCCTTTCTGAGTGGAGTTTGCATGTTCTCCCCGTGTCTGCGTAGGTTTCCTCCGGGTACTCCGGTTTCCCCTACCACTAAAAATATGTTCTGGCATGCGCCTCCTGTACAGGTGACCCTGCTCCCATCTCTGTGTGGAGTGAGAGGACAAATGCCCAAAATTAACAATTGTAAACCGCTTTGAGACTCAGATCTGCAGTGAAAAGGCGGTATATAAATAAAGATTACTTACTTACTTACTACTTTATTAAACCGATGCATCATTTATATGATTATTCATATTACTCTCCAGTCTCTCTCCCTGGTCTGTGTGTGTGTGTGTTTGTGTGTGTATGGGCCTGTCATTTCCTCTATCTTTATCCAGCTCCTCTCGCCTCTGTTTGTGTGTGTGCCTGTGTGTGTGTGCTTTTGTGTGTGAGTGTGTTTGAGTGCATCTCTGTGTGTCTGCTGTATCACAGCTGCTGCATTGACCACAGCAGACAGCGCCCCCTGCAGACCGGCAGAGAGAGGACATGGCTGGTCCTGTGTTCAGAAGTTCTTGTTTTTCCCTTAAGTTCTAGAGCAACAGCAGTGTTAGCAAAGGTATTTATAGGATCCTAAAGTTCAGGCTGGTGTTATTGTCTCTGTGGGAAAAGGTTTCACCACATTTGACCCATTCTTTGAGGATGAATGAAAGGACACAAAAACAACTTTGATGCTCAACTTTCTCTCTGTCTTTTTCTCTATGTCTCTCTCTCAATGTCTCTCTCTCTCTCTCTCTCTCTCTCTCTCTCTCTCTCTCTCTCTCTCTCTCTCTCTCGCTCTCTGACTCTACATCTGCCTCTACTCTGTACATTCCCTCGTGGGCGGACCAGAGACCAGAGACCGCAGCTGTAAATCCAACCCTGCACTTCTCAGCAGTTTTCTTTGACATGGTTTTCTTGTGGTTTCTCAAACTGTGGTAATAACACGGCAAGGAGAAAGTAGACAGAAACGTACAAATATGGAAACAAACAGGTGAAACATTTATTTCTGTTAAAACAGCAGCCATCTTCCCATGAACTCACCACCTGCAGGAGGATCAGCGGGGGCTGGTGCTGTGTGATTGGTCAGCTCTGATTGTCACCCCCTCAACCCAGAAATGGAACAATATAGTGGATGAAAAGGACATGACATACTTTTGATGATTGAGGCTCAGAGTCCATTTTCAAATGCTCTATCTTTCTGAGATTTTTTTCCATCCATCCATTTTCTTCCCATTAATCCATCTCTGGGTCAGGGGGGTGGCAGTCAGAGCTGCACCCAGTTCACAGAGCGCCAGCCCCTCACTGATCCTCCTGCAGTGGGTGAGTCCACAGGAGCCTTGATCTTCCAGCGGGGGCTTCAGTCAAAGTGGGGTTAAGTGTCTTGCCCAAGGACACAACAACAGCAGTCATGAAGTAGGTCTTGTGGTGGGCTCGAACTCACAATCTTCAGGCTACAAGGCCAATGCTCTGCCAACTGAGCCACTGTCGCCCCAGATTTTTGTGTTTTGTTTTTGTGTTCTTTAAAAGCTGTGATACGATTATAATACATTTTATATAGCGCTTTTCAGATCTCTCAAAGATCTCACACATGTCAGTATTCTTTCACTCCATTTACTACAAAACTACAACTGTAGCCAGAGCAGCCTTGGGGCACACTGACAGAAGCGAGGCAACCAGTCTGTGCTATTAGCCCCTTCGACACCCACCAGCCATTCACGCACACACCAGACTCATTCTGATGTGAGTGAAGTGTCTTTCCTTTGGCAGTTTACAGCTGCTGCAGGTCTCCCATTGTGGTACTGACCAGGCCTTGCGCTGCTTAGCTTCACAGGTCTGATGGGATCTGGCTTTCACTTGCAGGTATGGCCACAATAGCCAGATTTTCAACATTAAAACAATAAAATCACTTTGTTGATGTTGTA